CGGGGGGACAATGTGCACTGGCCTAGAGGACATATGGGAGACCCAGGAAGTATGGGATATGGGCACAGGGGCTCCCTGTGTTGACAGGAGACCAGGTTCGAGTCCTTGACCCAGCTCTCAGAACCCCAGAGTGGCTGCAGCCTCTGGGAGCTAGCTGCTGTCTGGCTGTGGCCAGGTGTGGAGCTGTGAGACTTCAATGCCCTGCCCCCTTCCGGGATAAGTCCTGGGCCAGGAAGTTAATTTTATTTTTCACTCTGGGTTGGGGCTGGTCCTTTCCTGGAGGCTGTGGAATTCTGAACACACATAACCCTTGATGGTCCTCCTGGAAGGGCTACAGACAAGGCTCACAGGCATGGGCTCCTGGGCCATTTTGCCCACTTCTTTAGGGTACAGTCCAGGCATCCAGGGCAGATAGCTACATCCTGGCAGTGGGCGGCGGCGGCCCCGCACAGGGCTGAACCAAGGACGAGGTTGGAGAGCTGCCATTTTTTAGCCCTGCCGCTGGGGTAGTATGGAACCACACGGCTGGGGCTGGGTGCAGGCTCCTGGCATTACTTTGGGAGAAGTGGAGGGTGGGGAAAGCCAGGAAGGAGTGGCTTCTGAAGGCTGGCACCAGGGTGTGTAGTGTCTCCTCACAGATTGCACCTACCCTGCCTGCATGGCAGCCCTGCCAGAGTATGGAGGCAGGGCTGGGAGTCACAGTTTTTTTGGGGGGGAGGGGATGCTTGGTATTTTCTGGCACACAGCTGGGGATAGTTGGCGGGGGCTGGCATGTGGTGGGATGACTGTGGTCTAGACAGAGGGCTGGTGGGAGCTCTGGCTGTGGTCATGGCAACTGGTCTCAACCCCCTCAAGTTTCAGTACTGTTAGATAATTGCCTCAGAAAGCCCCTTCCCCTAAAAGCCCCTTCCTACTCTTAAAGTTACAACTCCTCAACTCCTCCCCAAGCACAGGGAGTGTGGCTTCCCTCATCACTCTGTTCCAATTACCTGCTGCCCGACCCTAACGGCTCTTTCTGCCAGAGCAATAACTCCTTACTGGTTATCCCACCATCCCGAGATTTCCCTATATAAGAGTACATTTCTCCTCCCTCTCTCTCTCTCTCCCCTCCCTCTCCCCGCCTTTCTCCTCTGCTCTCTCTCTCTCCACATTCTCTCCTTATCTCTCTCCTCTTCTCTCCTCTTTTCTCTTCTCTTTTTCTCTCCTCCTCAGTGCTGCTCTGCAGCCTCCCTCCCCCACCAATAAAAACCTTTCATATAAGCCTTGGTGGTCTGTGAGATCTCTGCTGTTGGAGTGCCTCCCTTTCATCTGGTGTCCAAAGTGGGATATAATTAGGGAATGCTCCCAAGGGTAGCTTCCACCCCTTCCACGGGGTTTTAGCTCCCAGGGGCTCCCTATCCACTTCACACACTCCCGGTGGCTCACTACCGCATCAGCTTGTGTCCATCTGCCAAGACTCTCTAACCAGTATCCAACATTGGCCTCATTTGGATTTGGTAAGTACCCCTTTGGGAGTAAGTTTTTCCCTAATTTGTGGGCTAGGATACTTATATTCCTGACAATTCACCCGTTTCTCGAGGCTTGAGTTCGCTACTCCCATTGACCTTGCATGGCTTAGCCCAGGCCTCACACAAAAATTCCTAATGTCAGGTTTCAAGCTCTCCTCGGCCCCATGGTCTGACACTGATCTAGGCACAGTGATGACTGCCCTAGACTGTGTTCTCGTTCTCTTGGCCAGCCATGAAGCAGCAGAGATGTCCGCCCTTTGTCCTGGTCCTCCTGTGATTCTGCTCACGCTTTATTCTTGAGACAAATTGCCATGAGTGCAGGCCATTCTGTCCCACCTAACTCCCCCTCAGGGTACTTATCATGCCACCTGGTAAAATTAGAATTAAATGTAAAGCCAAAAAAAATGTCAATTAAACTCTCTACCCAGGTTTGGCTACTTTACAAACTAAACAACCAAAATATCTAACCAGGGTATAGTTCATTTAAGTTTTCTTTAATTTAAAACTTATATAACTATTGTGAGCACCTTGGCAATGGAGTGAGGTCCCCTATATTCAGGACTTCTCATATCTTAAAACCAAACCTAATTTATGTTCAAATAATTTCAAAATTGTTATAACAAAGGACTCTTATACTCTCCATCTCCCTAAACAAAGCCTATTCAACCCAACCAATAACTCCCTGCCGCGTAGGCATGCACCCACTGGTCCTGAAAACAAAGACCCCACCATATTCGGCTCCTCCTTCAAACGCCCAGTTACCTCCACCGTCTATCCCTCCTACTCCCCTGTCAACCAATCTAAGCTCATGTCCTAACTCCTTCCCTCCAACTTAGCCCTCAGAATTCTTTCATGTCACTCAGTCCAAAGCCAGCTACTTTAAAAAACACTTCCGAACCTCTTTATAAAACCCTTTCTTCCTCCAACTCCTCCATATGTGTAAACTAAGGTCCTTTACTTCTAATCCTTCTCATTTTATTCAAAAATTTCAGTTTATTACTATGTCCTATCAGCTTACCTGGCATAATATTTTTGTTATTCTAGCTAGTACCCTAACCTCTGATGAACACAAACGAGTGTGGGAGAGGGCGAAAGAGGCAGCAAATCAATTTCCTGTGTCAAACAATGAACATCCTACAGATGACACTGCAGTCCCTAACTCCCAGCCAGATTGGAATTATAATGATAATGCTGGGAAAAAAAGATAGAGACATTTTTATTACCTGCATTTTTTGCGGACTTAAAACTTCCACCAAAAAGGCTATCAATTATGATAAATTACGAGAAATAATACAAGATAAATCTGAAAATCCTTCAACTTTCCTTCATCACCTTACCAAGGCTTTTGTTAAATATACTACATCTTGGGGTGGCATGTCTGAGAGGGTCCTGGAGGAGAAGTAAAGAAAACATGAGATGGAGTTAAATGAGTGGTGCACTTCTGAATGTAACCTGGGCTTTCAGAAACGATGTTGATCCATACATTGATGTAGGGGATCTGGTCCGGATGGCCAGTGTGGCCGTAAACGATTGTCTGGATGTTGGAGAGAAGGGGGAGAGGGTGCGTAAAGTGCCTTTTGCACCGTATCCCTTGGCATGGTGGCTGAAATTAGAAAAATTACCGAGGAGACATTTTAAAGGAGTCAGCAGGGCAGATGGCCCCTGTCCCATTGCAAACAAATTATTAAGCGGACACTGACAAAGACGCACAAAAAGCAACGACACAGATGATTGACAACCACAGAAGACTGACAACCCGAAGAGACAGGGAGACGTCTCTCCTCTGTCTCGGGAACTGACTCTCAGCTAGTCAAGTTCCTCAAATTCTCTAGAGACCCAGACAGATTTACCTAGGGTGCCACAGCTGAGTCACCAGAACAGAAAATTTGGAAATCTTTGACTCAAGTCCACACAACTGAGGGCCTGGGGCGAAGGAACATCTCTCAGAGGCCTTCCCCTGGTGCCGTCAGCCAGTGGCAGGTCCAGGTCGAGTGGGGGGTGGGGTCCAAGGGCACAAATCTTGCTGGGGCCTCCAAATGTTGTAACCATTGTGATCTTAAAAGATAGACTCCACTTAGATGCAATTAATTAGAGATTTATTTACACCTGCACAGGGGACCGCTGCTCTGAGAGACAGGTGGCCTTGAAGTGGGGGAAGGTGGTCTTTTATACTCTTTATGCATAGCTAAGCAGGCCAGTATGGAAGCGAAATGTTGCAGCTAGCTTGGGGCAGGGTTACAGTCTGGGTGACAATGGCTACAGTCTGAGAAACACAGCTTGAGTAAGTTTTCCACTATTATTTGTTCACCAGGGACTAGGAGTTTTTGTGAACTTGGGGAATTTCAGTGCTTCCTTATTCTGAAGCCTTTTCTCAGAATTGACCCTGGGGGAGTAGAGGGGAGCTGGGACACGGAATGGGAATGGGAACTTGCCCATTACAATGATTTTATGATAAGCAGTCTGTTATTTTTCAACAAGACATTCTAAACAAATGTTTAGATTCTAAGCAGAAAAAAAATTATAGGTACTATTAGATTCACATGAAACAAGTTAACTCTATCCAATTCATCAATTTTCTTATGCTGTAGCTGTTTAATTTTACCTTAAATTTTTTCTTTCTTTTTTTTTTTGAGACAGAGTCTCACTTTGTTGCCCTTGGTAGAGTGCTGTGGCATCATAACTCACAGCAACCTCCAACTCTTGGGCTCAAGAGATCCTCTTGCCTCAGCTTCCCAAATAGATGGGACTACAGGCACCCACCACAATGCCCGGCTATCTTTTAGAGACAAGGTCCTACTCTTGTTGAGGCTGGTCTCGGACTCCTGAGCTCAGGCAGTCCACCTGCCTCAGTCTCCTAGTGTACTAGGATTACAGATGTGAGCCACTTACCTTAACATTTTTTAAGGTCCTTTATCTCTTCTTTGTTAATTTTGGTAAACTAGGCACATTTTAAAAGGAAGTTTGTGTCAAAACAGCAGTACTGAAATCAGTCCAAAATTGGACCCTGGCAACCAGTTTCTCACTGCCCATCTACATGACACTATCAAATGTAAGTATTCACTCTCTTCTGAAAAGTATACATCTTCTCTAGCACTGGTGGAAAGCAAAATGGACTTTTTGTTTTCTGTATAAAAACAGTTTGCACTTTAGAAAAATTAAAAATGGCCTACTCACTCTACACTCTTCCTAAAATCTTGAGGACAAAGAACATACATTTAAGTTTCATCAAGACTGCTTTAGAGCCCTCTCCTCTTTTTTACATTATTAGTAGTGGCACTCAAAATAAAAAAATAAGATCTGGGCTTGGCATGTGTAGCTCAGTGAGTAGGGCGTTGGCCACATACATGGAGGCTGGCAGTTTTGAGCCCATTCTGGGCCTGCTAAAGAACAGTGATAACTGCAACCAAAAAATAGCTGGGCCTTGTGGCGGGTACATATAGTCCTAGCTACTTGGGAGGCTGAGGCAAGAGAATTGCTTGAGTCCACAGCTTTGGGCCCTGCTTTTTAAATTTTAATGTATATGTGTTTCTCTACCGTAACAACATTGTACAAATTTACGTTTACAATCACATGCATGATCTACAGTAAAAAAAAAAGTTTGGATTATAGTGTTTTTAAATTGTGAATCACAATTCAGCACCTATCTTGTTATAACTAATAAGGCAACAGCAGTGTTGTATACTACAACAATACTCCCTTTCCACAGTTTAGTACAGAGTCAGGGTTGATGAGAGCCCGGAAATGTTAGAAATCTTAACCTCCTGTGTAATCTGTATGCGCTTTCTAAGGGTTTTGAACTGATGAAAAGGGTCCTACGTGAGTCACGCTATTATAGGCTGGACTAGTTACAGCAGCTGTTAAGGTGCATTGGGCACAACTCATATTGTGCTTACAATCAGATGACATGGTTTGGAGGTTTTCAACTCTTGGATTTCAATCCTTCCTTGGCTTTACATTGTTTTGTGGGAAAGAAAAGCTGCTGGTGTGTCCATTCACAGCAGCCATGGACCCATTCTGGTGGTCCTTCAGGTTGTCTTTCCTGTAGGAGGCCCCCTTCCTATTGTAGATCTGAATATAGAAGTTTGTGATGAGAGCAATCAGAGAAATCATGTGTTTGATCTGGAAATACAACCAACCAAGAGGGAATGCGCACTGCCAGATGACCCCACATCTGGTCTGGACGATTGTCAGCACAAACTGAAGCAACTGTCTCTGAGTGATGTACTTCTTCCACCATAGGTAAGGACGCATGGAAGGGACTGAAGACAGACTGTAGTATGAGTATGTGAGGACATGGATGAAGCTGTTGAGTCTGGTACCAAAATAAGAGTGGCCATAGGGAACCCAGTTTATCACAAACCACCAGATGTTCAGCATAGAGGCATGGTGGTAGATATGCAGGATGGTGGTGGTTCTTATGCAGGATGAAGCAGGTGTCCATAAATTCAATCCATTTGGAGAAGTAGTACCACCAGAGGACACAGGTAATCTTCATATCTGACTCCTGTTCTGTGGGTGCTCTGACAGAAGAAGTTGTATCTCCCTTTCTATACTCCTGTTACTAACTCAAAGAACATACAGAGAGACAGCAGCATGAGTCCAAGGTTATACACCACTAAAATACCCCAACAAGACAATGGCTATCTATTCTTCATGTATTTTGGTGCCAGCCATACAATTTGTAAATACGTGATGGAACAGATAAATGTAGGTATGTAATTGTCCAAAAGAAATGATCCTTTCACTCTGGTATCTTGGGTATTTAGCAATGCTTTCAAATAGGGACTAAGTGATGCTTGAAAATTTTCCATTTTAAAACTGCTTGGCCCGAGGGGCAGGAGCAGTTTTGAGGAGCAGCAGCGTCAGTGGCAGCAGGAGTGCCCATGGCCTGCAGCTGTCTGAAAGTTCAAGGTTTAGGGTGAGCCAATATTGGTTCTTTCTTGGTCCAAGGCTCTCTTCTTCTGTGAAAGTTGGAGACCCAAATAGTGAACTTCTAGGACACATAATTTGGCTTTAGCCTAGGAAACTTTGTACCTGCAATCAGTTATAAAGTTTAATAGAGCTTGGGTAGCTTTGTGGCATTCCTCTACATCTGGTGCTCCCCCAAAACGTCATCTGCATACTGAATAAGAGTCACTGTGGGATATGTGAAACAACTCAAGTCTTGGGCTAAGGCTTGTCCAAACAAGTGAGAGCTGTCCCTAAATCCCTGAGGTAATTTGGACTGGTCCTCCTTAGTTGCTCCTGTCCCTCAGTAGCCCATACTGGGTTAATTTCTGTCTCTAATAAGGGAAGGCATAGTATAGGTTCTTGTCCTATATTCATATAAATGGTTGTTCCTGCTTTAGTTAGTATGTCCCTCCTCGAAAGGGGAACAGGACTTCAGGTGTGATAGGAAGGCTGGATAGAACAGCCAGTTGTCCCAATTGCAGCTTAAAGGCTGAGGGAATTGGGTAACCATCTTTTCAGATATCCCCTGTATAGTTACAGATTTTGGGGACAGAAGACCAGAGTTAGGAGTACACAAAAGATTACTCCAGTATCCACAAGAAATTCTGTCTCCTGGCCCTCTACTGTGAGGCAGACCCAGTGCTCTTAAGGGGTGATGACACAAGCTGGAGCCATAAGAAACTGCCCCAGGCACCTTCAGTCCAGTTCAGGTGCTGATGGGGTCACTGTCCCAGGAGGCCTTTGCCTCTGGGGACAGGCTGCCCTCCAGAACATCTCTCTCTCGTCTCTTATACTAATCTCATCATGATGACGCCATATCTCATTACCTAATTACCTCCCCAAAGCCCTCATTTCCAAATACCATGACCTTGGGGATTAGGGCTTCAACATACAAATTTTGGAGATTGGCACATTCAGTCCATACCAATGTAGATGGAAAATACCATTATATTTCCATACGAAGATTCATTTATCATTCTTTGAAATGATTATTTCTTGTTTCTTCCTGCCCTGCTTTCTCCCACTCTCAACTGATACGTTTGCTTCAAATCATATTGAAGAAGGAACAGAAATCATACCATCAAATTTGTAAACTGCCAGCCTCTACTTATGTTTTCACTTCCTTATTTCCTGTTACAACATGTTAAATTTCCTCCCCTCCAGCTCGGTGCCTGTAGCGCAGCAGCTGCGGTGCCCGCCACGTATACTGTAGCTGACAGGTTTGAATCCAGCCTGGGCCCACCAAACAACAATGCAGCCAAAAAATAGCCAGGCATTGTGGTGGGTACCTGTAATCCCAGCTATTTGGGAGGCTGAGGCAAGAGAATCGCTTAAGCCCAAGAGTTTTAGATTGCTATAAGCTGTGACACCATGGCACTCTACCCAGGGCCATAGCTTGAGACTCTGTCTCAAAAAAAAAAAAAATTTCTCCTCTCATCAAAAAGGAGTTTCCACTAATAGTACACTAGATCCCATCACTTTTGTCTTCTTAGGCCCTTGTTCCCTCAGTTATCCTTTTCCCCTCCTACAATATCCATTTCTCTGATTCTCTTGTTTGAATTACTCCTATCAACATACATGCTCTAGTCCAGCAGTTCTCATCCTGTGGGTTGCGACCCCTTTGTTCCATTTGTAACAATGCAGCAACTAGGAAAGTTGAAAACCACTGCCTAGTCTCTCCCACCTTAAGAAAACTCATCCTTGACCCTGTCATCTTCCTCTGGGTACTGACTTACTCCTTTGTTTTACTTCACAGCCAAATGCTTTATTTTTTTTTGTTTTCCATTTTTTTGAGACAGAATCTCACTTTGTTGCCCTCAGTAGAGTGCTGTGGCGTCATAGCTCACAGCAACCTCAAACTCTTGGGCTCAAGTAATTCTCTTGCCTCAGGTTCCCAAGTAGCTGGGATTATAGGTGCTCACCACAATGCCCAGCTACTTTTTAGAGATATTGCTCAGGCTCAGGCTAGTCTTGAACCTGTGAGTTCAGGCAATCCACCCATCTCGGCCTCCCAGAGTGCCAGGATTACAGGCATGAGCCACCTAGCTTGGTCACAGCCAAGTGCTTTAAAGGAGTTATCTATAAATAGTGATTTACTTCCCATTTACTTATATAAAACTTGGTTTTTATTTTTGTCAAATGAAATATATATCTATTGGTAACAATTCAAATAATTCTATTTGAATTTGAATTTTTCTCTGAAAAATAGCTTGTTACTCCTACCCTCAATAATTTCTCTTTCTCTAGAAGCAAACATTTAACTGTTAATTCTGTTGGTATTTATGCCCATAACTCTAAATAGCACATCAACATTTCTACTTTATAAATTTTTAGTTTGGGATCATATTCATTGCCATTTGAATATGAAAAATGAAGTTCTAATTTCTTTTACTACTACCCATGCCCCCTGTATGTACATTCTCGTGCATACACACAAAGACAATTTATTTTTTCTATCATCCCAATATTATAATTTTGGTTAGATTACTATTCATCATTTATATGATTATGCATATATATATGCTTCATATTGGTTTGCTCCCTTATTTTGATGGAGCAAAGCCATGCATAGAACACATTCTCTATTGGCTTTTGAAGAAAGGAGCAGGGAAGGTAAACCATTTTAAGAAATTATGTATCTGAAATCATCTTTATTGTATCATCCCACTTAATTTTTAAGAAGATTTTTTTGAAGTAATATTTCAGTTGTCCTTTTTAGTTGTCCTCAAATGGGAGGGTTGTTCTGGGTTACCTAGCCTACTGTTAACTGAATACGAAAGATTCATGTGTCCATTTTCTGTTTTTTTTTTTTTGCAGTGTTTGGCAGGGGCTGGGTTTGAACCCACCACCTCCGGCATATGGGACTGGCACCCCTCTCCTTTGAGCCACAGGCACCATCCAAACATATTCTATTTTATTACTTTCTACTTTTATCTTTCATACTTCTTTCTTATTTTTTTGCTACGATTTTTATAATTTTTTGAGATAGTAGCTTTAATGCTCTAATTTTTAGTTTATCTTCTAGTTTATGCATTCAAGATGCTGTTTTTTGTTTCTGTGTTACTATATAGTCAAAAATCCTATAAATTTTAATATGTGATATTTCTTTATTCTCCAGTTAAAAACTGTTTTGAGATTTTAATTGTATTTTTCTCTTTGGCCAATGGGTTATTTATAAGAGTGATTAGGTACGAATTTAAAATGATTTTATCTTTCTGGTAAACTATTGATCTTGGTAAAGTGAGTCTATCTCTGATAATGCTTTTTTTTTAGGAAGAAAAAAATTTATTAGAACAGGAATCCAAAAACCCATCCCCAAAGCAAACAATTGAAGGGACTAGTATGAGAAAGAATAATCAGTAAGCACTTCCTGAACGCTGAAATACTCTCCCCACCACTGTTTTTCTTCATCATCTCTAGTCATGAAAGTAGAGGATTTGTTTAATCAGATATTTCTGCTCTTTATACTCTTGTGGAAACTAAGGGATCAGTAGCCTTCCTCAAAGGCCCGCTCAGAGGTAAGATACATAGGTGTGTTATGCCCATAATTGCCTTCTTGTGGCTATTGAGATGTGGTTTTACTGCTAATGACTAACTCATCCTTCTTTACAGCATAAGGCTTTGTGTGTGTCCTCTGATGTGCAAGGTTGTGTGCCTTTTGGCAAAATCCATGTCCACACTCCTTGCCGGACATAGAGCTTCTCCCCTGTGTGTGTCTGGTGGTGTGTGAGAAGTGTTGTCTTTTGGCTAATTCCTGGCAGACATAGAGCTTCTCTCACATTTCTTGCAGATATAGTGCTTCTCTCTTGTGGGTGTCCTCTGGTGTGTAAGGAGGGTTGATTTTTTTGCTAAATCCTCACCCACCCTCCTTGCAGCCATAGAGCTTTTCCCCCTGTGTGTATTTTGTCGTGTGTGAGATGTGCTTTTGGGATAAATCTGTGTCCAAACTCTTTGCAGACATGAGGCTTCTCTCCTGTGTGTGTCCTCTGGTGTCTGTTGAGATGCGATTTTTGCCTAAATCCTTGATTGCGCTCCCCGCAGACATAGGGCTTCTCCCCAGTGTGTGTTTGTTGGTGTCCAAGGAGATTTGAGTTATGACTAAATCCTCGACTATAGTCTTTACAGATATAGGGCTTTTCCCCAGTGTGGGTCCTATAGTGTGTGACAAGGATTGACCTGTGGCAAAAGCTTCCCTCACACTCATTGCAAACATAGGGCTTTTCACATGTATCTTTCCTCTGATGTCTGAGGAGGGCTAACATGGCTAAATCCTTGTCCACCCTCCCTCCAGACATCGGGTTTCTTCTCTGTGTGTGTTCTCTTGTGTGTGTGAGGAGCTTTAACTTATCACTGAAAGTCTGCTCACACTTGCTATCCTTGATTTTTACAATACCTGAGATTCCTAGTTCCGTACAAAATTTGTCTATGTCCCCTGGACCCGCTTTTGGGACTGATCTGGGCTCTTCCTCTATCATTATATTTCCATCCGTAGAACTCACCATTTGTCCCTCAAATATCCCTGAAATCTTGCTCTGCTGTGTGTGTGACAGGCTTTTGACATTTCTTTGACTGCTTGACCTTTGTTTATATCTTTCTAGCTGTGTGGATCAGAAAGTTGCTACTGCTCCTGATTCTGAACCCCAGTGCAGGGATTCTTTGGTTGGAGTGTTGTAATGCAGCCCGTTCCCATGTCCCCACCAGCAGGATGTCAGAGAACATGCTTCTAAGCCCATTCTCAGGCTTCCTCATTCACCGTACGGTTGGCAGGAGCAGACTTCATAACAAGAACCCAAACTCTAACTATTGTTATCTGAACTATAACGATTGCTACCTTAATCAATCACTGCCACCCAAGCTTTAA